CGGAGAGGCGAGGGGGGGGGGGGGGGTGGAGTCCTGCCCTTCGTTACATCCAGTGGTGGGAATGCTGTGCTAATGGTCTGGGTGGTAGAGTTATAACTAGACCCCTAAGTTTTAAAGGAAGTATGAACATAAGGGCCATAGAGCTTGTACATGCAAGCACAATTCCAGAATGGCAACTCCCTACTTCTAAGTACTTCTAACAGGTTTCCTTGAGATTGTATTTTAAAATGCTACTGCAGTATTTGTCCAAATCTAGCTATCTGGTTGAGCAAGGACCAAAACAAATGTTGCTTAAAATTCGCTACTGTGCTGAGCCTGATGAAGGGGACCCTGTGTGGCCCCGAATACGCCAGTTTTGGTGACATGACGTTCCAATAAACTAACTCTTTGGACTGCAATACTGGTGGTGTGCTGGTGACATTTATTAATATTTATAATGTGTGGTGACGCCATCTGCAGGTTCTACAAGCAGCCCCCTCCCCCCCCATTCAACTTTGGGTTTTTCCGGTAAGGAGTGCGACAAGGTATTCTTTTGTTTGTGATGGACTGCAATCTCAATACAAATTAGTAAACTAAATGTGAGCTTGTAGTCCCATCACGGGAGTGAGCATGGAGCAGTGGCTAGTTTACAACACACACGGGGACCCTGGGGAACGAAAGTAATGAATGCTTGATACACAAATAAGTGATACACAAATAAGATACATTTTTGTTATTAGTTGGGGTAGTTGAGTGCATAAGTTTTTTTTTTTTTAAACTCTTGAGTTTAGTGTCACTTTAACATGTATTCACTTTTACAGCCAAATTGGGATAACACATATTTTATGTTTGCTACACGTTCTCATTCACATTGCATAACTCTTGCTGCTTTTTATTGATATTTGTAAATCTTTAAAACAAACCATTAAACTATCAAAACAATAAGTGGAACAGCACAGGTATCAGACAATAAAGGCAACTCAGACCTTGAACGCAGTGGGAGGGTGCATGACAAAAGTTAACACACAACCAGTAGGAACAATGTTAAATGTTAAAAGGATGAAGCAGAAATGTACTATGTGGACATATATCTGTAAAAAAATTAGTCAAGGACTTGCTGTATTTTTATTGAAAACTTTTCCCTGGTCATCCAACCAGCTTTCTCAATTCAGAATGACTTGTACAAACTATTATCTGGAAATAAATATGGTAAATGTTGATCCAATCCACATAATCTGTTAGTCACAACCAGGTGCTGATTGCATTTGTATAATTGGAGCTAGGAGGTGTTAATAACCTGCCCAGATAGGTGTTAAAACAGCATTGTATGTGGCATACAACGGATGTTCCATCCTCCCACCACTATTCAGGCTTGGCTTCTCCAAGAATGGGGTGGGGGTTCCTCAAAATTCCGATCAGGCCTTAAGGGCCTGGTATGACTTTGGGTATGGGTTTTATTTTAATTTTTTAGAGATAGCTAGATATAGATATGTCAGTTTTGCTGCAGCAGGTTCTATACATCGTACAGATGCACCACTTTGCAGGCAGTTTAAGGGGACCCCCAGCACAATATTTAAATGTCCATTTTTATTTCACTTTTAAGCAATGTTAAAATCACTAATCTTTTAAAAACTGTGTGGGGGTCTTTTTTATATTTCACTGGAATAAATATCCACAGTGTGGACTGCAGTGACGTGATGTATGGAGTGTGACAGTGGATGATTTTTGTATTTATTAGAAACGGCTCCAGACATTCAAAGATGATGAGATCCATGTAATAACACAAAACAAAATCTCTATTTTCACAGCACCAAACTATGATAGGAGTCAATGGCTGGATGTGAAGGAAAAGCTTGGTTTGGATTTCCCAAATGTAAGTGACATCGTGGGGAGAGAAAAGGGAGGGGTCCTTGTTCAGACGCTTCTTGGTGTCGGATCACCACTATCTTTCAGTTGTGTATCTGTGACATTCTTCCAAGCAGCCATGGTTCACTGTTGCCATCAGAAAGCTGGACCAGCTCACTAATATCTACACAGTGATGTGTGTTTCATGTTTAGTTTGCAAAGGAATTTTACCTTGGCTTATTGAATGTTATGAAAATCCACTTTGCAAAGAATACCAAATCACATGCAAGGAAAATTGTCAAACAGGTTTTTGTTTTTTTTTTTTTACTTGCACATGTCCACACAGTTTCTCCACAATAATCAATTAAAAAATTCCCCCATCAACTGAAAGTTCACTTTTGCAAAGTAAACCTGCTCAATTCCTTTAGTAAATCGGTCATTGTTTTAACAAACTGAATTGGAGTTTAGATATACTTTAAAGATTTTTTTTTTTTGTAATAAGGGTTGGTGTTTTAGGGGTTCATTTTAAGGGATGGGTTAAATCAAGGGTTGTCTTTTGGAGTTAAGTCATCATCTTGAGTATGCGGTACAGTTGTGGTTACCAACTCTCAGGAAGGTTGTCTCCGCGCTTGAGAGAGTTCAAAGAAAGGCTAAAAAATAATTAAAGGGATGGAAGGCCTGAGTTATGAAGACTGCCTCCAACAATTAAATGTATTCTCCTTTGAAAAGTGGCGCTTAAGAGGGGACCTTATTGCAGTCTTCATAATAATCAATGGGGACCACAATATTCGGAAACAAGTTGTTTTCACTGAGAACGTGAACGCAACAAGAGGTTAGAAGAGAGGGAGTTCAATCTTGGAACGGTAAAGGGCTTTTTTACTGTGAGTAGTAACAGGCAGTGGTATCTGCTGATAGCGTAGATACGTTCAAGAAACTTCTAGATGAGTTTCTTCAGTCACGAAATATAACGTGTGTATGTTGTTGAACTGGATGGACCTTGGTCTGTATCCAACCTCGACTACTATGCAAGTCTGGGATCAGGTTTGTGTTGGGAGGTTAGAAAATAGAAGTTAGAGATAATTGTAGATCTAGTTGGGAGACATGGGCAATTACGGCATTTAATCTTTGCAGTCAATGCTCTATACCCAACTGTCCAGCACCAAAAAAACACACCTGGAAATTATTTTCCAATATAAGCTAATAAGTGGTTTTCATTTTATACCTCACATTAAAATTGTTCCCTTTTGCAGCTGCCATACCTTCTAGATGGAGATGTTAAGCTGACGCAGAGTAACACAATTCTGCGCTACATTGCATGCAAGCATGGATTATGTGAGTATCGGCTTTGGATTGGTTTGTAATACTGTGCGTCTTGCACTTTTATTGCTTGACCTCATTGTTTTACTTTGTTGCCTTTTATATTTATGTTCTGCTGCGTGAGCTACTGACAGATTTTGGGGGGAATATTGCATCTTTTGTATCTTCTGCAGGATAAATTTTACAGCACATTTTATAGGTAATGCATTGCAAAGTGTTCAAAATGTTCCTTTGTGTATACACATAGTTGTTGTCGATGGCGTGGAGCTCGCATACTTTTCAGTGTGGCACGGTGCATGTACCTTCATATTGTACTTTTTTTTTTTTTTTTTTTTAAAAGACACCCCTGTTTTTTTTGTGAATTGGTGAAAGATTTTGGGGGATGTTACATCTTTTGTATCTTCAATACTATTCAATGTGGCACTGTGCATGTTCCTCCATATTGGACTTTTTAAAAAAAGCACCTACTTAGCGTGTAGATGGCAACCTGCCAAAAGAGTAGCAATGTCTTAGAAGGTACTCTTACCTCTATCTTTGCCAGTTTCAAAAATGTATAAGTGAAAGACAAAACTGTAGTCAAAACATGCATTTTTACATGGATCATAGGGACAAAACATATGAGCCACCCTGTGGCATCATTACCCTAAAGTTTCTCAGCAACCGCTTTACTGATTAGCCTAAACAACCATCTTAAAAGCTGATTCAGTATAGCGGTGTAAAAAAAACATAATGTGCAGTAGCTCATAGCATGCGATCAGTTGATACAGTTTGTGACTCTAATTTAAAACTGTCCTACTTCCCCACCACCACTGTCTTGCAGGTGGAGAGTCAGAAAGTGAAATTAACAACGTATCATTGATTGAAAACCAATCTATGGATTTCCGAATGGGACTTGTATCTATTGCCTACAACCCACAATTTGTAAGTGGAAAAATACAGGAAAATTATTTATATTCAGCTAAATTACTTGTGTACAAGGGGACACAAAAAATATTGCCATATACAAATACACACTATAATTCTCACAAAATATGGCCATATGCAGGTACACACCTATAATTCTATTAAATGCACGGGCAGTCCTCTACATACAACCCCATTGCAAAAAGGTTGTGGCACTGTGTACAATCTACATAAAAACAGAATGCAATGATTTTCAAATCTCATAAAGCTATATTTTATTCACAATAGAAAACATATCAAATATTTAAACTGAGAAAATGTACAATTTAAGAAAAAAGTAGGGCAATTTTGAAATTGATGGCGGCAACAAAAAGCTGGCTAAGTGGTATGAACTAGGAAAAGCTGGGAGAACATTTTGCAACTAAGTAGGTTAATTTGCAACAGGTCCGTAACATGATTGGGTATAAAAAGAGCATCTCGTGAGAGTCGGTGTCTCAGATGGGAAGAGGTTCACCCATCTGTGAAAAGCTGCAACTAAAAATTGGAACAATTTCAGAATAATCAACGTAAAATTGCAAAGACTTTAAATATATCATCTACAGTACATAATATCCTCAAGAGTTAGAAAATCTGGAAAAATCTATGTGCGCAAGAGATGAGGCCAAACACAATATGATCTGTGATCTTCGGGCCCTCAGACGGCACTGTTACAAACAGGCATGATTCTGTGATGGACATCACTGCCTGGGCTCAGGAATACTTTCAAAAGTCACTGCCTGTGGACACCGTTCGCAATGCCATCCAAAAGTGCAAGTTAAAGCTCTAACATGTAAAGAAGAAGCCATATTGGAACATGATCCAGAAACGCCGCCATCTTCTCTAGGCCAAAGCTCATTTAAAATGGTCTAACAAAGTGGAAAACTGTTCTGTGGTCAGACAAATAGAAATCTGATATTCTTTTTGCCAACCATGGACAGTGCGTCCTTCAGACTGAAGAGGAGATGCCTTCCGGCTTGTTATCAGCGCTCAGTTCAAAAGCCTGCATCTCTGATAGTATGGGGGTGCATTAGTGCGTATGGAATGGGCAGCTTGCACATCTGGAAAATCACAATCAATGCTGAAAGATATATATAAATCCAGGTTTTAGAGCAGCATATCCAGACAACGTCCTTTTTCAGGGAAGGCCTTGCATATTTCAGCAGGACAATGCTAAACTGCACACTATGACAACAGGATGGCTTTGTAATAGAGTCCGGGTGCTCAACTGGCCTGCCTGCAGTCCAGACCTTTCACCAATTGAAAATTTTTGTAACCTAAAATATGACAAAAGACCCAGGACTGTTGAGCAGTTAGAATGCTATATCAGGCAAGAATGGGACGACATTCCTCCCCAAAAACTCCAGCAACTGGTCTCACTTCCCAGGCATTTACAGAGTGTTAAAAGAGGGGATGCTACTCTTTGGTGAAGAACAGTGGAGCCATCTGCACACACAGATGTGGCAGCTTGGAAGTAAAGCCTACTGGCTCTACTGCTGAATATATGCATTACATTGGCAAGACTGTGATAACCAAGGAGTACTTTGCATTTTGATTGAGAATAAACACATACAGGACATAAGATGGGAAATATCCACTAGCCAGTCTATGCAATCCTGCTGAACTGACTGCTAACTGTTAAAGCTGATTTTAATAGAAATGTATTCAATGTTTTAGGAAACCCTTAAAGGTCCATACCTTGAAAAACTTCCAGTTGCCCTAGGAAGATTCTCTCGTTTTCTGGGAGACAGACATTGGTTTGCCGGGGACAAGGTAAATGTCCTGCAGTATAAGTTATAATGTAATAATCATTCTGTATTTTTAGACAAAGCATGTTATGCATTGCTAAATTGATTAGTGTTTAATATCGTATACTCATTATTTTTTTCCCCCCCCCTCCAAAAGATCACATTTGCGGACTTTCTGATGTATGATGTCCTAGATCAACACAGGATTCTGGACCCCAATTGCCTGCAAAACTTTCAGAATTTGCAGGACTTCCTAACTCGGTTTGAGGCAAGAGTGGACTGCATTAGCCTCCATTCATCTATAGAGTTTGCGTCTCCTGCTTGGTTTTCCACGCAGAAGACTGCACGGAAATGTTAATCTTTAGAACTGCACGGATTCCGCTGGTTTGCAGCTATTACTATAGCTGCGAATGTGAGGAATCCACCCCTGTAATCGCGCTAGGACTACTACTTTTTATGCGGTGCCCGCAATAGTCTGAACAATGCACATTTAAGTGCATTGTTTTCTATGTTTTTTAGAGCGGTTCCGTGTGCATTCATATGGCCGAATACACGTGGATAACCGCTCCTGTGTGAATGAAGCCTTAGCTGAGTTAATTGGACCATTCAATGGCCTCCTAGTTGGTTGTAGATCACAGGCGTCTATGGGGATCACATATGATTGGAATTCCCAGGCCCAGAAATATTGCTCAAATCTTGTAATTATTTCAGCTCTATTGGTTTTCTTTATATTTTGAAGGCTTGTGACTCCAGATTTTGTGACTTGTCTTTTTTTTTTTTTTTTTAAATTTTAAGGTAGAGTGGGGAAAACCTCGGTTAATTTTTCATTGCTGTTTGTGCCCGCTGGGTGGAGTTCCTCACTTCCTGTCAGAAAATAGGAGTCTAGGTATCTAAAATGTTGCCATACACCTGTTATGGTGAAAGCTGTCAAAGGATGGATCTCTACTCACTATAGAAGTGAGTGAGATTCAACAGGGACACAGTCGGTGATAAATCCCTGAAGCTCTCAACCATTCCCACGCTAACAAACTATGACCCTTTTGTCTGGAGCTCCGCTTTAATACCGTACAACCGTACAATCGTTGGCAAATCTGACCATAAGACTCCCTCTCTTGAAATACTGTGCTAGCCTGGAGATGAATACGGATTTAACTTTCTGATCAAGTGGTTAAAATATCACTGGCTCCCTAGTAAAACCTCATCACAGAAATATATGGAAGTTGCCCTCCAGAGAAAGTAAAATATAAATTCAGCTCAAGGCAGTACCTTAGGTGGCACTGGAATAGGAAGTACAGTATATCTCTCCAACCAGGACACGGGTGGCAATAAAAGCCTTGACAGATTTTAACCTTTTGCTCACTCCTTTTTAAAAAGAAAAATGTATTGCTGCCTGGGTTCTAGCTATCCAATTTTTTGTCACCGGTACCTATGTTGACATATTTTAACATTTGCACAGACGTCAGTACATTAAGGCCTAATTTAGCATCTTGTAAGTGAATGTATTATGCACTGATCTAAAGCACCAGGTGACATACTTGACAAATTGCAGTTCATATTTCATCAGAGTATTGTTACTGTGTTTTTATAATGTTTTTTTTTTGCAGACTCTGCCAGCTATTGTTGCATACATGAAATCACCACGCTTCATGAAGACCCCAATTAATAACCGAATGGCATCATGGGCCAACAAAAAATAATGTGATTCAGCTAACACGCTAGTTGATCGTTCTGGAGAATTGATCTTGCCCCAATTTTATAGTTCTTCACAACTAGCTTGTGTGTGATTGCATTGCTTCCTACTGACACTGTTTTCTATGAAAATAATAAAATAACATTGTTTGCAGTTGTCTGTGGTAGTGGACATAAAGTGCAAAAATTAGATTACAAAGTATTTGAGGTTGAAAAAAAAAACGTGTGTTACGGTCTCTTGGGATGGTATCAATTGATTTCTGCTGATACCACTGCTTGTGTCAGAGTTCCAAAATGTAACTTCTCTGACCTGAGAAGAATCCCCTACACCCTTTGTGGATAAATCTTTTCTCCACCAATTTTAGGTGGTGGCCTCTAGTCCTTGTTACTGAGTTTACAGTAAAAAGTTTAGTGACGATGTTTCAATCACCACTAAACATTTTGTACAACAAAATCATGTCTCCTCTTAATCTCCTCACTTCCAGCGTGAACAAGTTTAAATTTCGCAACCTTGTATCATAACTTTGATCCTCCAGCCCCTTAATTAGCTTTTGTCGATCTAAGGCTTTTCTAGTAACATCACACGGCACATAAGTATCCATAATTTTCCACACATACAATGAGCCACAAATGTACATTAAAAGTTAGGGGGTCATTTATAATGGAAAACCGATATCGCTACCCACTCTGTTATACTCTGCAGAATTACACACACCGCAACCTGCATTTTTATAATCCTACATCACCGGACACAAGAAGCGCCATTTCAGATGATTGGACACTGGCCATTTAAAACTGCAGGACTTCCCTGTATAACTGATTACACCACCAGCCTGCCTCAGGTTTTGCTTTTGTCCTTAGGTGATAGAAACCTTCTCTCAGCTCTGACAGAAGGACATACTTTACTGTACTTTTTCCACTTTAAGACTCTTCTACCAAAGTTTCTCTAAGCTGCTTGCTGCCCCTGTGGTTTCATTCTTGGCTGAGCTATGGTAAAATGTACTCAACCTGCTAAAAGGAAGGTGCAGGACTGGCCTGTAATGTGCTCAGAGCTCTAGATCCTGTGTTGGGCATTTACCTTGGCACTTAGTGCATCGTATCGAGTAGGTGCAGGATGCGATACAGATCTAGGGCTGTGGTATATCTACTGGTGGAGCCTTGTCCCTGAATGCCCACTGGTAGGGCAAGGGATGGAGGGGGTATATCTATTTAGGTGGCTGCTGCAATTCCAAGTGAGAGTAAGTGATTTTGAGATCACTCAAGTGCTTTTGCTGCAGCCAAGTGTTGTTTTTCTCCAGTCACTGAGGGGTTAACATGGGCATTGCTTTGACTCCTGTGTCACAGCTTTAGGCAGTTAGACAGCTGAGTCTTTAAACTTGGCCACATTTTTCAGTCTCACTTGTGGCTCCTGTGGAGCTTTTGTGCCTGCCAAGCCTCCGTCTTGGTGTAGTGCTGTGAATGTGCCCTCCATATACTTTCCTTTGTCACACACTCTGAACTGTCCACATGCATCTGCTGCTTCAACTAGGCACAGGGAGTGAAACCACCACATGTGCTATGCACTTGGTCACCATTCTGCCTGCAAGTGTCTGAACACAAGGCACCCTCCAACCTCTGCAGTTCATGAGTACCTTTTGGAGATACCTTTGGCGCATGTTAGATCATAGACAAGGAGACAAATGAGTGGCAGGCTCTGTGGCTACCCTGCCCCACAATGGTTGGAATGTTCAGACCCTCTGTTTTTTGCCAGTCTTATGTTCTGCTCCTTTTCCTCATTGATATCCACTTCAGGGACCTCCTAAGCCCCTCCAACGGTGACCTACACTACTTTATCATCTGGAGAGGCGTTTCCGTCAGTAATGGCTTACTTAATGGGCAAAGTATGTGACATTTTTGAGATCTCAGACTGCAGGGGTCGCAAGCAGGCCCTTTCACCTTGCCCCCTCAGTCTCCCTCTGTCTCCCTTTTGCACTCCCTGAGAGAAAAGGCTGTTTCCAGTACTGTGGATCCAGCCCAGGAAGAAAATCTGTCTCATGATGTTCCTAAAGATCAAAAACACTATTTCTGTCCTTGTGGATGCAGTTCATACTTGATTGTAGTTAGAGCTGCCTGCTTTGACCTTGCCAAAGGTCACTAGTCTGGGATCTTTAAAAATACCCATACCTTCTAAAACCTTCCTTGTGCACTAATTTTTACAGCCAGTGTATGGTGACTGGGATCACCCTGAAAAAGGATTTACTCCTCCCAAATGGTTTGCTCATCAATCCCTATTGAGTGGTTTCGTAAAGGTGAGCTTTAAAAAAAAAAAGCACCATGGACGTTTTAGCCATGATGTTAGTATGCACAACACATCATGGCAGGGAGCTCTTCTATAGGAACCTTTTAAGGGCTTGTAGAAGAGGTCCCTTGAAAACGGGGACCTGTTCTACAAGACCTCAATAGGTTCTGTAGAAGGGGTGACTGTTTTCAAGGACGAGTGTAGAAGCCCTCCCTATAAGAAGCACCTACAGCGCATAGGGACCACCTTAACGGTGAAACCTTAGATATTTTTAAGAGTACTTTTTTGCAGAGGAAAACTCCAGTAGCAAAAACTCCAGTAGCAAAAGTAGGACATTCCCAAAACCCGGTTTCAGGAAGTTGTGACCAAGAATTACAAACTGGAGTTTCGCTCCTTGCCCCCTCACTTTCTGTTGTTGAACTTGCCAATATCTTCTCAAAGATCCCTTGCTGCCCTAGATCACCTCAGATGCAAAAATATTTCAGGGGTTCTAGTCTCAACCTGTTCACTGTCCCTAAAGGGGGGGGGGGGGGGGTCTCCCTACCATATGAAAAATCCGCAGATCAAATGTATCTATCTGGGCAGCCATTGACTTCCTTCACTGGGTGATTTCCTGGCCTCAGTGGACATCAAAGATGCATATTTGCGCATCCCTATTTTTCCTGCTCACCAGCGCTACCTGAGTTTTGCTGTAGGCACACAACCCTACTACTACTGTTTGTTGGCCTTCCATTTGGCATGTCCACTGCACCTTGGATTTTCACCCAAGGTGCTGGCCCCTGTTTTGGCTCTGCTTCGGTATCAAGGGATCCTCATAGCAGGGCACTTGGATGACCTCCTCATAGACCAGTTAGTGCAAGCCTTATCTGACAATTGATACAAACCCTGCAGAGCATTGGGTGTAGTCATCCTTCCCTTGGAAAATATCCAATCTTTTGCATCCATGCTAGGACCATGAGTTCCAGCCATTCAGTTTTGCATGAAGGTTCTGTGCTTAATGGTTGCCTCCTTCAAGGGATTCCCACATGCTCGGTTTCACTCCAGGCCATTGCAGCTCCTTGTTTTTGCTGCAAAGGAAAAAGATTCAGACACTGGACTTACTCCATATGTCTTTCCGGCAAGACGAGGCTTGTTCTGGCATGGTGGATCTCCAACTTTGTGCTGGAATCGGGGGAAGTCGTTCAACTACTGATGGTCTTGTAGGTGCTCCAAAGTGCTAATTTTGGTCTAGGGTGTTAAATAAAAAAAGATATACTCCCCTGTACCTCGGTCCCCTCTGCTGCGGCTGTCTGTAGATCCATGTCTAATACATTGAGGATGCTGAGTGATCATTACATCAACAGAGTGTGGGGGGCGGTCTAGCAGTCAGGTAGGAAAGAGGTTCATGTGGGTATACTGTATGTCCTGCTACAGGGTGCCATATTGATGTCTCCAGTTGAAGATCTGTGGTTAGTTCTAGCATTCCAGCAGGCCTAGCATCCAGTCATTAGGCACTGTGACATGACATCACCACAAAGTGCTGAGAAGGAGTGCAGGTAAAGTGATTATATGGCAGAGCGCGGTGTGGGCGGAGACAGCCAGCGCTGTCACAGGAGTTCACAGGAGGAGTACTCCTCCCGCACCGCTCGCTCAGCCTCCTGTGACAGCTGTCAGGATGGAGAGCGGTACAAACACTCAGCGATCAGTGATCGCTGAGTGTAAATAATTGAGGACATAGTATGGTTACTATAGCCTCACTTATGAATAAATGGGAAATGATCAACATCACCTCCTGTTCATTCATGATTGTGGTTATAGTAAACACACTATGTTCTCAAGTTATGAATGAATCACAGTTGTTGATCCTCATACCATCTCTGAATTGGTGATGACACTGTCCTTCCTTCTGGAGGGTGGCTACTTTTGTTCCCCATGATCCATGTGTGTGTTGTAAAGTAGCCACCGCTCCAAGCTCACTAGATTTATAGTTATGCATGAGTATATACAGTGGCTTGTAAACTAATTCACTCCCCTCTGCAATTTTCCTATTTTGTTGTATTACCACTTGGAATTAAAATAGATTTTTTTGTGGGGTTTGTATCATTTGATCTATACAACATGCCTACCAATTAGAGGATGCAAAACAAGAAATAAGACAAAAACAGAAAACTTGAGCGCGCATAACTATTCACCCCCCTCCCCCTAAATCAATACTTTGTAGATCCACCATTTGGAGCAATTACAGCTGCAAGTCTCTTGGGATGCATCTCTATACGCTTGAAAAATCTAGCCAGTGGGATTTTTGCCCATTCTTCAAGGCAAAACTGTTCCAGCTCCTTCAAATTGGATGGGTTTTGCTCGTGTACAGCAATCTTTAAGTCATGCCACAGATTCTCAAATGGATTGAGGTCTGGGCTTTGACTAAGCCATTCCAAAACATTTAAATGTTTCCACTTAAACCACTCCAGTGTTGCTTTAGCAGTATGCTTAGGGTCACTGTCCTGCAAGAAGGTGAACCTCCGTTCCAGTCTCAAATCTTTGGCAGACTGAAAAAGATTTCCCTCAAGAATTTCTCCATATTTAGCGCCATCCATCATTTCTTCAATTATGATCAATTTACCAGTCCCTGCTGATGAAAAACATCCCCACAGCATGATGCTGCCACCACCACCATGCTTTACTGTGGGAATGGTGGGAATGATGAGAGGTCTTGGCTTTGCATCAGACAAAACGTTTTCCATGAAGGCCAAAAAGCTCAATTTTAGTCTCATCTGACCAGAGTACCGTCTTCCATATGTTTGGGGAGTCTCCCGCA